AAGATAGGCAAACATGCAAGGAGATCCAACCAGTCCATCCTAAAGGAAATCAGTCCTGGGTGTTCACTGGTAGGACTGATGTTGAAGCTGAAACTCCAATATTTTGGCTACCTGATGTGAAGAGCTGACTCATTTGAAAAGACCCTGATGTGGGGAAAGATTGAAGGCAGGAGGAGAAGGGGACAACAGAGGATGAGATGGTTAGATAGCATCACCAACTCAATGGACATGAGTTTGGGTAAACTCTGGGAGTTGGTGATGAACAGGGAGACCGGGCATGCTGCATTCCATGGGGTCGCAAAGAGTCAGACACGACTGAATGACTGGACTGAACTGAACTGAAACACATCTTTAAAGTATCTACTTTAAACTAATAGCTGACGTGATAATTACTAGTAGGAAAAAAAATACAATACTAAAGGCAAGAAGCCCATTTTTCCTATTTGAAAAATATTGATCTGGAGGTTCTAACCAGACCTGAATTAGTGTGGAGTAGTTTTGAGAGACACTACAAAGGTGACATTGAAGGACTATGGCACCCAGAATAGTGGCAGGCTTTTAGTAGGTATTCAGTAAAAATTCAGCATATGAAAGTTTTGCTGTCCTCCCATGGAAGTTCTCAGGGGTAAGACCAATCTCCTCTCCCCTTCCCTTCCCTTCCTTTCCTTTTCCTCTCTCTCTTCCCCCTTTATTTTTTCCATACTACATCCCCAGAGTCTGCCATTCAATGAATGTCCCCTCATTAAAGATGTCACCTTATTAGAGCTGTGTCCTCAATGAAAGTTACTTCACTGGGTGTGGGGTTGAGAGAAAGAGAGGAGTGCAGAATTATTCACGTTTGAACTTTTCCCAGTGTAAGCAGCATGTTTTCTTTCACAAATATTCATAGGGAAGTTAGGAGACAGGGCTGGTTTGGGGGAGATGATTCACTTTTAAACTGAAGCACAATGGTGCGATCACTCACCAAGAGCCAGACATCCTGGAATATGAAGTCAAGTAGGCCTTAGGAAGCATCACTATGAACAAAGCTAGTGGAGGTGATGGAATTCCAGCTGAGCTATTTCAAATCCTAAAAGATGATGCTGTGAAAGTGCTCAATATGCCAGCAAATCTGGAAAACTCAGCAGTGGCCACAGGACTGGAAAAGCTCAGTTTTCATTCCAATCCCAAAGAAAGGCAATGCTAAAGAATGCTCAAACTACCAGACAATTATACTCATCTCACACACTATCAAAGTAATGCTCAAAATTCTCCAAGCCAGGCTTCAACAGTACATGAACCGTGAACTTCCAGATGTTCAAGCTGGACTTAGAAAAGGCAGAGGAACCAGAGATCAAATTGCCAACATCCATTGGATCATCATAAAAGCAGAGAGTTCCAGAAAAACATCCACTTCTGCTTTATTGACTATACCAAAGATTTTGACTGTGTGGATCAAAACAAACCATGGAAAATTCTTCAAGAGATGGAATAACAGATCTCCTGACCTGCCTCATCAGAAATCTGTATGCAGGTCAGGAAGCAAAAGTTAGAACTGGAACAATAGACTGGTTCCAAATAGGAAAAGGAGTCCATCAAGAGCTGTATATTGTCACCCTGCTTGTTTAGCTTATATGCTGAGTACATCATGAGAAACGTTGGGCTGGATGAAGCCCAAGCTGGAATCAAGATTGCTGGGAGAAATATCAATAACCTCAGATATGCAGATGACATGACCCTTATGGCAGAAAGCAAAGAAGAACTAAAGAGCCTCTTGATGAAGGTGGAGGAGAGTGAAAAAGTTGGCTTAAAGCTCAACATTCAGAAAACTAAGATCATGGCATCTGGTCCCATCACTTCGTGGCAAATAGATGGGGAAGCAATGGAAACAGTGAGAAACTTTATTCTGGGGCTCCAAAATCATTGCAGATGGTGACTGCAGCCATAAAATTAAAAGATGCCTGCTCCTTGGAAGAAAAGCTATGACCAAGCTAGACAGCATGTTAAAAAGCAGAAACATTAATGTGCTGACAAAGGTCCATCTAGTCAAAGCTAGGATTTTTCCAATAGTTATGTATGGATGTGAGAATTGGACTATAAAGAAAGCTGAGCGCTGAAGAATTGATGCTTTTGAACTGTGGAGTTGGAGAAGACTCTTGAGAGTCCCTTGGACTGCAAGGAGATCCAACCAGTCCATCCTAAAGGAAATCAGTCCTGAATATTCACTGGAAGGACTGATGTTGAAGCCGAAACTCCAATACTTTGGCCATCTGATGTGAAGAACTGACTCATTTGAAAAGACCCTGATGCTGGGAAGGATTGAAGGAGGGAGGAGAAGGGGATGATAGAGGATGAGATAGTTGGATGGCATCACCGACTCAATGGACATGAGTCTGAGTAAACTCTGGGAGTTGGTGATGGACAGGAAAGCCTGGCATGCTGCATTCCATGGGGTCACAAGGAGTCAGACATGACTGAGCGACTGAACTGAACTGAACTGAACCGATACATTTGAAGGACTAGGAGAATTAGCTACATGATGCGACCCAGTAGATGGTTGAAAATATGAAGATAGAACTCTGTAGGTAAATTGGACTAGGGCTAAAGATCTGGGACTATCTGCATAGAGATGTTAATTGAAACACTAGGATAATTTGAGGCCACCAGAAAGGAAGAACAGAAAATGAAGATAAACTGAGTTGAGGAGAAATTTTGGGACATACCTGTGTTTTAAATGAGACAAAAGAAGAGCCAACTGAGGAGACAGAAGTAAGTTAAAGTTGGGAGGCAAAGTATTCCAGTCACTCCGAAGGGAAGTGCAGAAAATTTTCAAGGAAGTAGTGCACAGTTGCATCAAATTGATTAGGAAGATAGTGAGGCTAGAATTCAAGGGAAGCTATTACTGGGTTCAACAATGAGTTCACCAATGAGTTCCTTCTGTATTAAGTAAAAATAAAAGATGCCATTTTTAAAATTTTCACCAAGAACTTTATTGAACAGTGTCTTCATCATTTTGTTCTACTAGCTTCTGCCATTTTTCAGGCAACCTCATAATTTATTCCTAAAACTTTTTATCTTTTTGAGCAAAGATCTGTTTCAGGTGTCTTTTACAGTCTTCCAGGGAATTGAAATGTTTTCCATTAAGATAATTTTGTAAATACCCAAGTAAATGGAAATCTGAAGCTGCAATGTCTGGTAAATATGTGGGATGAATCAGAACTTCCCAGCCAAGCTGTGACAATTTTTGCCTAGTCATCAAAGAAACATGCAGTCTTGCATTATCCTGATGGAAGAGTTTTCTGTTGACTGATTTTTCTGTTTTCCATTGACTAATTCTGGATGCTTTTCATCGAGTGGTAATTTTAGTTGGTCTAACTGAGAGCAGTACTATTGGAATTAATCATTTAGTTTTCTGAAAGGACCTCATAATAGAGGACTCCCTTCCAATCCCACCATTTACACAATATCACCTTCTTTGGATGAAGACTGGCCTTTGGTGTGGTTGGTGGTGGTTCATTTCATTTGCCCAATGATCTCTTCCATTCCACATTACTCTACAGTATCCAGTTTTCATCGCCTGTCACAATTTTTTTAAAAAACAGAATGCTTTTGCTACATTTAAGTAGAGAATCACATGCAGAAATACAGTCAAGCAGGTTTTTTTTCACTTATGTGAAACCCAAATGTCAAAGTGATTAACATAACCAAGCTGGTACAGGTGATTTTCAGTGCTTGATTTGGATAGTCTGAGTATGTTGGTTATCTCCTGTGTGGTATAATATTGGTCATTCTCTATTAATGTCTTGATTTGATCGCTGTCAACTTCAACAAATCTACCCAACTGTGGAGCATCATCCATTTAGAAATCTTCAGTCTGAAACTTCACAAACCACTTTTGACACATTCGATCAGTCATAGCACCTTCTCCATACACTGCACAAAACATTTTTTGCATTTCAGTTGCCTTCTTACCTTTCTTGAAATAATAAAGCACAATATGCCAAAAACGTTGCTTTTTCTTCCATCTTTAACATTCAAATGGCTACACAAAAATTCACCAATTTGAGTCTTTGAAAAATGCACAATGATATGAAAACTGTCAGAATACGGTCTAACAAAATTGTTTCAAATGAAGTTAAAGACAATTAAGTGCTACTAGAGCCATGTTATGGAAAAAAACTGATCGAACTTATTGGCCAACCCAATTCATCTGGGCAGTTAGAGTGAGCATTTCAGAGTTTGCATATGTGTGGAGGGAGTGTAGGAAGGGAAATCAAATTTGAATGGACAAGGTATGAGATAAAGATTACTCTCTCAAGAAATTCAGTGGGAAAGGGAGGGAGGACCAACCTAGACAGCATATTAAAAAGCAGAGACATTACTTTGCCAACAAGGGTCCATCTAGTCAAAGCTATAGTTTTTCCAGTAGTCATGTATGGATGTGAGAATTGGATTATAAAGAAAGCTGAGCGCCAAAGAACTGATGCTTTTGAACCATGGTGTTGAAGAAGATTCTTGAGAGTCCCTTGGATAGCAAGGAGATCCAACCACTCCATCCTAAAGGAAATCAGTCCTGAATATTCATTGGAAGGACTGATGCTGAAACTGAAACTCCAATAATTTGGCCACCTGATGTGAAGAACTGACTCATTGGAAAAGACCCTGATCCTGGAAAAGATGGAAGGCAGGAGGAGAAGGGGACGACAGAGGATGAGATGGCTGGATGGCATCACCGACTCAATGGACATGAGTTTGAGCAAGCTCTGGGAGTTGGTGATGGACAGGGATGCCTGGCATGCTGCAGTTCATGGGGTCGCAAAGAGTCGGACACGACTGAGCGACTGAGCTGAACTGGGAGGGAGGAAAGAGAAAAGACAGAGGTATCTGACTAGTATCTTTGTAAATGCTCACCATTAAGCGGATAACTTGCCCAAATTTTCAAATTACACACCAGTGCTATTTAGGATCTGTCTATAAAGACTCGTGATATATTACATTGCCAACAAATAGTTCCTGCTGACCTTGTGGAGCAGCAGCATGGACTGGGTTCTGTGGAAGAAGATGCAGAAGTGTAAATATAAGGACAGCAAGAGACAGCAGGTTGAGAGAAACTACTGTGAAGCAGCAAAGAACCACACAAAGTGCAGAGCCAGAAGTAATCAGCTTGGTTCCTTGGCATCAGTGACCCCATGTTCTGTGCCAGCCACTGGGATCTGGTAAAGGATGACTGGAGGGTGCGTATGGCCTCTGCTCCATGGTGAGATGTCTACTAATAGCTTCCAACATGGAATATTGTGGGGCTGGAACAGCAGGAGAGGTGTCCCCGGCTGGCTGGCTTTTTTGAGTCAGAGGGGGACGAGAAGGCAACCTTCAACCTGTGTGGCACCAGCACAAGGATTGCCTTCCTGTGCGTGTGTGCCAAGCTGTTTCAGTCGTGTTCGACTCTTTGCGATCCTGTGGGCTGTAGGCTTCCAGGCTTCCTCTGCCCATGGGATTCTCCAGGCAAGAAGACCGGACTGGGTTGCCATGCCCTCCTCCAGGGGATCTTACCACCCAGGGATCGAACCAGTGTCTCTCATGTCTCCTGAATTGGCAGGCAGCTTCTTTACCACTAGCACCACTTGGGAAGCCTCCCTGTGAGCCAGCGTAATTCCCTCCTAACTACAGTGGATGTCGGGGGTTTAAGGGTGAACAAGATCACAAAGGTGATCCTGAAAGCTATTCATCAATCATGGAGGTAGCTACCCCTCCTTAAAGCCTGAAGAAAAAAACAACTTTTTTTTCTGCTTGATTTTTGGTCAGTCCACCACTATTTCTCTGAGTTGAAAGCAGAACTATTCTTCTGTGTCATGATCACACCACTGATTAGGAAAAGCATTTTCTGCCAAAATAAAAAATAAACACATGTTCTCAATCTCTGATTTTCACATGAAAGTCCCTCTTAAGACCAGGCAAATGCTCGACCACTCACCTTTCTGGAATAGGAAGGAGGAAGAGCTCACCATAGTCATCAGAACCAACCCACTCTTTACCCACAGACTGCAAGGAGGACACAGCAGCCTTCCCAGATGCCCTGTCATCTTGTCATCTTTGTCATGAGACCAAGACCGTGCTTCTGGGAGAATCCATGTGATTCAGAAAAGCTGGTTGAACTTCACCCTTCTTAATACCACTTGATATCTGGCCTTTTTCTTAAAAGCCATTTCATTTTTAATATCAGGGCTAATTAAGCAAAATAACCTCTAAGATCCTTTCTAAGTTTAAAAGATATTACAGGCTGGGAGTTAGCTGGTGAACTCTCTTGGGGGTGGGGGGCACTATTAGCTCATTTACTTCACTAAGGAAAGTCTCAAATACAAGGACATGAGGCTTCCAAAATTCAGGAGAGCATGGTTGTATAATGTTCTGTGACTGTATAATGTTCTACCACAGGCCCCTGTTTCCTCAGGATAAATGGGGAACAGAGATGTCCACTGAAGACTGAAGGCTGTGGGTCTAGGCAATAATTGAGTGGACTCGTGGGAGTTCTTCCATTTCTGGTACTCCAGAATGACATCCTTGAGCTTAATGCAATATGTTACACATCTTCTTTGGTTAAAAGTTTACCAATAAACCCAAATTTTCTGGAAAGTTCTGAAGACTTGGAAACTGTGGAATTAGTATGAGATACTCAATGAAGAGTGGCAAAGAATCCTGTCATCCAACGAGTCTTTAATATCCATGAAATGGATGTGCTAACAGCTGTTGTCAAGAAAATCACAGCTATCCCCACGAAGGTGCCAGGTTGATGAGTTTGGAAGAATCCACGGCATGACATTTCTATTCAATATGGATCAGATAACTAACTTTATAATTTCTCTGGGGTCACCTGGGACTTTTAGTGTATAAACTCAAGGGGGAGGATTTAGGAAAAGACCTGCTGCCCAGGAGCAAAAACAACACAGTCTTCTTAGATATCTCAGCTTAATCATCTCAACTCTGGAGAAGGGACCAGCTAGGTGAGCGTGTGTTTCTGGTCTTCAAGTTTTACCTAAAAATTTGTATCAAAGACTCAAAAGCAAATGGTGCTGTTGTGCTATGGTGATGAGCACGTTGGAGATAGACACAGAGATTTCTTTTGGCATTGCTGTTTCTGACAACTGTTGTTGTCAACGAGATGAACCAAATTCATACACTTTCTGAAAAGCAGTCTCTGTTCCTGAGTAGCATCTAGATTCCCTTAGCAGAGGCTGAAGCCAGGAAGAATTCTCACTTTCATTTACAATGGGGCGTTTCCTGGTTTCTTTACTTTTTTTCCTTCCTTCTTTTATGTCCTTGGCCACCTGATGCAAAGAGCCGACTCACTGGAAAAACACCCTGATGCTGGGAAAGATTGGGGGCAAGGGGAGACGGAGGTGATAGCGGATGAGATGGTTGGATGGCATCATCGACTCAATGGACATGAGTCTGAGCAAACTCTGGGCGATGGTGAGGGACAGGGAAGCCTGGAGTGCTGCAGTCCATGGGCTGGCAAAGGAGTCGGACAGGACTTGGAGACTGAACGAGCAGGTAGTCCGGAATGGGAGGGGTAACGTCCGAAGGGGTGGCTGCTTTCTCTGTAAAGCTTGGAGAGAGCCGGTGAGAAACCTGTAGCACAGGGGAGGGAGAGCTCTGAGTCTTTACACTCTGGCTTTGTTCTCGTTCAGTGTCTCGTTTGTGTTGTTTATTTTCTCCCCCAAATTGGTGCGTGAGGCTTATTTTAATTCAGTTTCACGTGGACACAGATATTACTGGGACTAAAGCACTATTGCTGGACTTGGGAACATGGGTCTTTCCCTCTGTCCAGATCTAGAACAGGAGGACCTGTGGAGACGCAGCAGGGGATGCTTTGCTCTGACTGAGCTTTCCCTAGAGCCTCTCCGGCTTGCTCCGGCCACCTGATCAAGTCTGGAGTTGCAGGGTTTCACCTTGCCACCTATTTCGGTGTGAGCTTGATAAGCCACGTGAACTCTGAGAGGTGGCTGTGTGTCTCAGTTGCTACCAGGGTAAGAGGGGGAATGATGCTCCCCTTCTCTCAGGGATGTTATGAGAATCACGAGCTAAGATATTGGAAAGTGCCTGACACGGTGCTTCTCAAGAGTTTGGCTTTTGTCAGCTTTCCTCTGAGCTGCTGAAAGCACTCTTTCTCCTGAAAAGTGCCCGAGGACACAAGTTAGAGTGACACATTCTCTTAGTATCATGAGGAATACGATTAATGGGAAATGACTTCAGTTTACTGCATCTTCTAGTAATCCTGTGATGCCATCGCAAAACAAAAAGCACATGACTACTCGTAAGCCCGTGGTACCTGAAAAAGAAATTGAATTTGACTCAGAAAATCAGGCCGTACAGCTAATCGCTCTGATCCAATAATGCTGCCCTGCAGAATGGCATCATCAGCCCTGGGACACGGGGATGGGGGAGGAGGACGAGCAGGGAGACTGAACCCTCAGGGAGGCAGCTGCCCAGACACTCAAGCCAATGAAAAATTCATAAGGAGATGTTTCATAGCCAATGTCTGATCTCACTGCTGGGGCACAAGCTGGTCTGAGCCAGTCAATAGTGTCCATCCTCCTGAAAGGAACTAGTGATTGTACGTTTATGAGAACTGGGAGGTTTCCCAAGCCAAGACCAGTTTCTGGTTACTTGGTATGTGTCACTCTTAAAAATATAGAACTTATTTTGAAAATGGAACCCTAAACCTTTAAGAAATTATACAGAGAGGAGGCAGAGGGGTACTTTTCAAATCTGCGTGGGGGAAATGCTTGAATTCTCTTATAAGTTGAACTAAGGACTGGTTTTTAAGTTGAACCTACTTTTTTGGGTTACCATTCTTTGTATACAGTTTCTTTATACTTAGATCTAGAATTCTGAAAATAATACTTTCCCATACGTGTTAAACTCCTTCAAATACAAATGGAAATGTATGAAAATGAAATCATGAAAAGAAAAATAAGTGGAGTCAACTTTATCCTTACACATGACTAAGTTCCAGGTTGTTTTGATTTTAAAATGATTTTAAGGATCATAGAAACTTCAACTTCAGTTTGAGGGTTTGCTTTTTACACAGGCAATGGTGTAAAGGCAGAAGTGTAAAGGTATAGAGGCAGCAAAAGGAGTCTTAAAGGTTATGTGCTCACACGTCTGCTGAGGATTTCAGGGGAACCACACCACAGTCTGGTTAGATGGGAAACGCTCTAAGAAAAGCAGGGCTTCCAGGTGGGGCTAGATTAGAGCCCTCCCTGAGGTCTTCAAAGCAGATCCCATTGAATACCATCTCGCCCACCCTCACTCACAGGTGCATGAAACATCAAGTGCTCACAAAGGAAAAGTCTCGGAAAATCAACCTGTGAAGTAGGAAGGCAGGAGAGGGAGAGGAGCAGAATGGGATAAGGAGTTTCCTCCTCTTCCCGGTGATGGTGTCAGGAAAGAAGCTGCACTCTTGCATCTGTGTAAAGAAAAAATATTTCTTTTAATGGTCGTGAAAGTAGCACCACATCATTGTAAAGCACAGAAAGTAAAAAATAAGAAAATAAAAACCATCCATAAGCCTGCCATCCTAAAATGTCTATTTAACAAGAAGGAGTATTATCTTCCAGGGTGTTATATCTCTCTAGATATAGACATAAAGATATACTATGTTGGAATCTTACTGTAAAGCGTTTCATATCCTGAGTTTTCATGTATGTTTATCTTGTAATCATTTTCACATGTCAGAGTTTTCAGATGTGGTATTTTATTGTTCTGTTGTTAGCTGCTCAGTCATATCCGACTCTTTGTGACCCCAGGGACTGTAGCCCAGTAGTCTCCCCTGTCCATGGGATTCTCCAGGCAAGAACACTGGAGGGGGTTGTCATTTCCTTCTCTAATTGTTCTGTTAGAAATCTGTTAGAAGTATGTGCCATTCTTCTATTTTTTAATTTGATTTTTTAAAATCGGAATGTAGTTGCTTTACAACGTTGTATTTGTTTCTGCTCTGCAACACTGAATTAGCTGTATGTACACATCCACTCCCTCCCTGTTGAGCTTCCCTTCCACCCCCGCCCTACTCAGTCATTCCTCTGTTGACAGATGGGTGATGCACTCTCAAGTCTCAGGAGTTAGTTCCTGCAGGTGTATACAGCCTGCCCATCGATGTGCACTGAGCCCGATCCCAACTATGCTGAAGCCGGCCGTTTCCCCACTTATCCTTAATCCCTCCCAGGAGGCAGGGGGCAGAGTGGGAAGAGTTTGGGCTTTGGGGACTGCCAACCTGCGCTCCATACGTGGGCTATGACCCAGTATTGCTTACCAGTCGTGTGACCTTGGGAAGCTTGTTAACTAAGCTTCAGTCTCCTCACCTATAAGATGAGAATAACTTTATAGAGTGTTAAGATAATGATCGAATAAAAGAATGTATGTGTCAGTTTCCTCCCCTCTGCCCTTTTTCAGTGATCAAGCTTCTCCCAGAAGCAGCTATAGAGCAGTGTTTAAGAGCTTGAGCAAGTGATCTCGGCCCTCTGTGCCTCCGCTTCTTCATACGTGTTTTGGGAATCATGGTACCGATCGCTGCAGTTGTAGGTTTTTAGCGAGGATTCAGTCAAGTGACCCACAGAAGGCACTTGCTGCCTGCACAAGTAGGAGCACAATAAATGTTGGTTCTTCTTCTATTATAATCCTGCAGGACCTTTCACGAACGTCACTTCCTTGTTTTCACCAGAGCGTGAGCTCCTCTGTGGCGTCCCCTAGGGGATGCTCAGTTCGCCCTGTTAGCTGCCTCTCGGAGTCACTGTCTGGTGAGCCTCGCAACCACCCAGCAGCAGGCCTGGGCCCCGCCTCACGGCAGCCACACCCTGCAGCGGGCTCTGGCCCCAGGCACCCCTAGCAGTCTCTGCCTGACCAGTACCGGCACCGAGGAGCCTTTGCGGGGAGTGGCCTGAGAGGGGGAGAATACCTTGGCCACAGCTTGGCATCCAGGTACCAGTCAGAGGGAAGAAAGTTGGGCTGTGAGAACCTCCTCAGAACTGAGTCAATGTTCAGAAAAAAGGCCCTGAGGGGAGAGAGCCTCAGGGAAAGGCCAACACAACCTTGTCCCCGTCTTGGGCCTTTCTTGGGGAAGCCTCTCCATTTCACAGGAAGTGCTAACATTCTTGCCCTGGCGCCACCATGCAGGACTACAATGACAGGAGGGAATTCACCCAGAACCCGGGACGTGGCAGCCATCTTGGAGGGTGTCTGCCCTGCCCCCAGCCCGCCCACTGTACTCCAGCACAGGGTCTGAGAGCGTGGTCCCTGGATCAGCATCACCTGGGAACACAGGAGGGAGGCAAGCTGTCGGTCCCACCCCAGACCTACTCAGTCAGAATCTGGGGGATGGGCTTCCCAGCCATCAGCATTTTCATGTGTGGTTTGTCCCTCAGAATTCAGCCCAATGAAAAGATCAAGTATGGGCACAAATATTTATGTATTATTACAAAGATGTTCATCTCAGTGTTATTTACATAGGACAAAATAGAAGCTTGGAACAACCCAAATAGCCAAGAGTATAGGTTGAACAAATTATGGTATATCCATATAATGGAATATCATACAGCCACAGAAAATGACATTTTTAATAAAACACTCAGTGTCAAGGGGGAAATGGTACCAAATAATGTTAAGTGATAAAAGATGAATACAAAACAGTATGTAAAAATTAAACCCATATATGTGCATAGAAAAAAAATCTAGAAATAAACACAAAATGTTAGCACTGGTTATCATCTCTGGGTAATAGTACTGGAGAGTGTTTTTATTTTTTATTTTTCTTTGTACTATTTGGTATTTTCAAATATTCCACAATGAACATGTATTACTTTTACAAAAAGAAAAAAAAAGTAATGACAGTATGTGAACTTGGTTGGTCATTTTACTTCTCCAAGTCTCTGTTTCTTGTGCCTCCAGTGGCACCTGCATAGACCCCCTTCCTCCAAGCCCAGTGGAGACAGTGTGATCATTGGCAGCTCCTCCCCAACAAAATATATTCTGCAGTGATCTCCACTTTCACTGTATTGTTTATCACGAATCAGAAGGATCTAAGGGCTGTTTTATTTCTTTCCCATCCTCTGACAGCCTGACTTTGGGCACAGCAGTGACTAAGATGTCGTAACTGGAACAGGCTCAGAGGTGACCGTGCCAGTCCCAGACTGCAAACAGATACGGCAGAAGAGGACAAGAAGCAGGCCACGAGGGGCCCATTAATGTGCAGGGGAAATGGAGAGGGGCTCAGCTGTGTACTGGGGCTGGCCGGAGTCGGCCACCGGCAGCTCTGCCACGGTGCCCTGAGGACAGAGCAGGCTCTGGCAGCCAGTGATCCTTGGAGGTCAGCAGGCCTGGCTGTGGGCTGTGGGCAGATTCAGGAAACCAGAAAGTAACACCGCAGCCCAGCGCAATGCCTGGCAGATACAGGATACTCCATAAACATCTGTTGAGTGGAGGAATAAGTGAAACTTCATCATGGTCTCTGGAGATCAAGACCGTCCATCAGAGGATGGCTTCAGGGCCTGGGGTCCAGGCACAGAAGAGCTTGTAGGGAACAGGGCTCAGGGAGACAGCTCAGCTACGTGTAGAGAAATATGGTGTCAGTGGGGAAGGCAGGAGCCTTGGAGTCCAAGCCAGGCTTGAATCCCATCTCCATCACTAAGTGACGAGGTGATCCAGGGGAGTTTGCCTAACCTTCCTGGCCTCACTTCGTCCCTGGCTTCCTGGGGAGGACTTCCCCACCTTGAAGGGCTGTTTTTGGATGTTTCCATGAGATGCTGGAAAGCCTGTGGACAGTTACAGGTCTGCTCCCGTGGCTGGCGGCAGCCTGAACACAGATTAAAGCAGGAGCTGGGACCCAGGCTAGCGCCAGTCAGGCAGGGCATGCTGCCACTCGCCCAGGAACCGAGGCAGGTCTCCGGCACCGGCATCAGCTCTGCTTGGCAGCGGAGGCCACAGCCTCTGCACCGCCTGGCTCAGAGACTGGTCAGTGCAGTCTGGAGAACGATCCAGCGATGAGCTGGGGGAGACAGAAGCTGGGGAGACAGAAGCTAGGGAGACAGAAGCTGGCCCAGAGGGCTAGGAAGCTGGAGTAAGGTGAAAGCGTGGCCACCCAACAGGATCCTCAAGGCAGAGGATATAAATTGGGTTTCTCCTTCTCAAGGGCAGGTTTGGGATCTCATTTACTTGAGGTGACCTGTCTCCATGAGGAGTTGGTGCAGCTCTTTGCTGGGCGCGCTCAAAGCCTCCTCAGACCTCCTCCCTCGCACACACCGTTTTCAGAATGGCTTCCTAATGGCGTCGCAATGACCTGAGGCAACTCATCTTCAGAGATGAGAGGCCTTTACCCCTTACAGGCATGCCTCCTTCTCATACCCTCTGGCTCGTCTTCCTGGAGCTTTCTCGTGGCCAAGCCCTGCCCTCGTGTCTTTGGGTTTACCTTTACTTGGAAAGCACACCGTACTCATTGTTACGTGGATAACCCACCACCCTGTCATTCCCACCAGCGTCTTGGGCAATGTTTGCTGGCAAAGCACTCTCCGCCCTCTTCTGACTGCCTCTGACATGATCACCTCTGCGTCGTGTCAGCCCGGTGCCACCCGAGCTTATCTGCTGTGGGGGCTGCGTCTCACTGTCTATCTGCTCTCTGCAGATCCTGACACAGGTGCTTGATAGCTGCTGGGTGAAAATAAGGAGGGAGGGGGCGTAGCAGACACTGTGGATTGGCTGCCCACATGCCTTTCATAATCTTCTCCCCTTGTGTTCTTCTCCTGAGGAGTTGGAAATAAAATACATACTTAATTTTCCCAGCTACTCTTACAGCTAGGGGTGGCCAAGTGAAACAGTTCAATGAGGTGTTAGGGCAAGTCTTCAAGGAAGACTTTCCCAGATAAGAGGCACACCTCTCTAAGAAAAAGCCTTTGATCCTTTGGCCCTTCCGTTTTCTTCCTACCTGGAATGAAGACATGATGCCTGGAGGCTCATGCAACCATGACGAAACAAGCAACAGTCAGAATGGCCAAGTGAAAAAGAATAAAGTACTGTGTCATTCTTGATGGTATTGTTATGGGAAACACATTGACTGAAACTATCCACCCTGATCAGGCGCTATATTAACCATTTGCATGAGTTATTTTACAACAGGAGGTCCTGAGAAGGAAGGTGGACCTAACAAACCACCACCAACTGGAAGAGTTCAGGAAACATCAAAAGGAGATGCCAGGTGTTCTTCCACCTCCCAGAATCCTCCTCGCTGGCATCCACCTTGGCTGAGCAATGCATGCACCACCACCAGGAAGACCCTGAGTCAGAAGGATTGGCCAAAGACAACCCAGAAACTAATCCCGTCACCATAAACCCGGAGACTGCGAGCCAGGTGGCAGAGCAGTTCTCCTGGGCTCCCTCACCCTCCTGCTCTCTGCCCAGGGGGCCCCTTCCCAATAAAGTCTCTTGCTTTGTCAGCACGTGTGTCTCCTTGGACAACTCATTTCCACATGTTCGACAAAAGCCCACTCTCGGGCCCTGAAAGGGGTCCCCTTTCCTACAAGAACAGCGTCACTGATGACCATTATTCCTAGGCGAACCAACCTCATGGCTTGTTTGGGACCGAGAGGTATCTAGAAATGCAGGACTTTTGATGCTGAAACAGAAATGGTCCTGGACAAATATGGGCTTTGGTCACCTATCCTATTCTATCCGAGCCCTGAACTGCTTATTTCCAGAGATTTCTTATTATACAGTGAGAAAAATAAGTCCTATTTACCTCAGACATTGTAGTCAAGGTTTTCTGTCACTTGAGTGTGTTAGTCACTTGGTCATGTCCAACTCTTTGCGACCCTACGGACTGTAGCCCTCCAGGCTCCTCCGTCCGTGAGATTTTCCAGGCAAGAATACTGGAGTGGGTTGCCATTTCCTTCTCCAGGCGATCTTCCTGACCCAGGGATTGAACCTGGGTCTCACGCATTGTGGGCAGACTCTTTACGGTAGCCACCATCTGTAGTCGAAAGCATTCCTGTGGATGTACGTAAAAGTTGGTATTTCTAAGATTCAGCAGGCAGACATACAGAGTTGCAGGTCATTTGAGGGCTAGTGTCACAGCAGGTGGGCCGCTAGGCCTGAGCAGAAAAATGGGGCAAGGACCAGATGGCAGGAAATCAGGCATCTTGTAAACAGCAGGGGTCCATAGTCAGACAAAGGAAAGCAGGCACCTTCAGACCAGCAGGAAACTACACATTTTGGGTGATAAGGGTCTGAGTAGCAGACAAAGAAAGCTGGGGGAAGGAGGGAATGTCCTGTGTCCAAATGTAACATTTTGCTCATTGTGCTCTCATTAGATAAGATTAGTCTTACAGATAAGAAGTACTCCACCATGCTCTGATGGGAGACACTTCTGATCTAAGCTAAATGGGGACAGAAATCCCTCCTCCCCTTGGTCAAATGGAGCTGGGATGAAAATGAGGAAAGTCGACCCCCAAACTCTGCCTTCCCCAGTGAATATTCCAGCCCTTCATTTGTTGTTGTTCAGTCACTCAGTCATGTCCCAGTCTTTGTGACCCTGTGAACTGCGGCACACCACGCTTCCCCGTCCTTCACCATCTCTCAGAGTTTGATCAAACTCATGTCCTTTGAATCAGCGATGCATGTCCCTCATACCCGGCTAGGCAAAGAAGCTCAGCAGGGCAGCTCTTCACTTGCCTGATGCCTGCTCTCCCTCCCTCTGAGAGTATATCTTTGCTTAAATAAACTTCCACTTTATTTTCTTAATCTCTCTGCTTTGTCTCCAAATTCTTTTGCATCGAAGAAAAAAAACCTCAAATTCACCAGCAACACTACCTACCTTCACAGAGCTTATCTCAATTGAGTTTTATAATGATCTTTTATGCTATGTTTTGTTATACCCATTTTACAGATGAAAAAACTGAGGCACCTGGTAGCTCAGATGGTATACTGTCTGCCTGCAATACAGGAGACCCAGGTTCAATCCCTGGAGAAGGAATTGGCAACCCACTCCAGTATTCTTGCCTGGAAAATCCCATGGACAGCGGAGTCTGGCAGGCTACTGTCTGTGGGGTTGCAAAGAGTTGGAAACGACTGAGCGACTAACACCAAGAAGTTTAGCCCAACTGGAATCCATGTCCTGTGCATTAATGTCATATGCCCTTCTCCTCCATAGCCACTCTAACTCATTTTCTTTTAACTCAATTTGTGATCGCTTAATGTTATTCAGGAGTGGGCAACATTCTTTTTGAATGAATGAAGTCACTGTGAGATGCAGCATTGCCTTCTCTTTATGGTTTCTTTCTGGACAAGTCAAAAAATCCTGGCGATGTGACTTATTTCTCCATCACGACTGTTAATGGATAAGAGAGAATTGGTTTACATAGATTAAAAGATGTTGTTTAAATTATTGTTGAATGATTCAAAAGGTACAAAGGGGAATGTCGTAAAAAGTCTCCTTTCCATCCCTGTTGCTTTATAGATGAATATTAGAAAAGCTTCCATCAGTTTTAAATTGATGGTTTTTTTCAATGTGGACCATAATGAATAGCCCCTTAAATTTCTATTCAGCTTTAGAAAAGATAAAATACTTTCAAAGGCACAGTCTCTCTCTCTCTCTCTTTTTCTTTCCAGCTGATTGAGGGAGTTTTCTTTAGATTCCATTCATAATCACAGCTTTTGGCAGATCTTACTTCCCCCTCATCCTCCCAACCCTACCCACTCCCTTCCCCTTTCCCAGAGGCCAGGACTTCCCTCTGGGTCCCTCACACCCTGGCTGGTACTGAGTCTCCTGATTCCCCCGGGTACAACCATAGGCTCTTCATATATTCTTTGTATCACTTGCTGCACCAGGAACAAGTCTCTCCCAGAAAGAAGCTCTGAAGACACTGTTGATGGGCCCACTGGCTGGCCAACCTACTCTTGCACATGAGTGGCCTATGAAATACCCTCTTCAATCAGCACGTCTGACTCATTTTCTCTGATGGTTTGCATATCTGTTTATAGTGTGTCCCTTACTAAAAGTTTTGCCTACGAAGAGTCTGTAATATAACGGGAAGATATTATCATATTCGTTGAAAAAACATAATATATCTATATCTATGTATACCTACATCTAGTGAAAGTGAAGTCGCTCGCTCAGTCGTGTCCGACTCTTTGCAACCCCATGGACTGTAGCCTACCAGGCTCCTCTGTCCATGGAATTTTCTAGGCAAGAATACTGGAGTGGGTTGCTATTTCCTTCTCCAGGGGATCTTCCCGACCCAGGGATTGAACCCGGGTCTTCTGCATTGCAGGCAGACACTTTACTATCTGAGCCACCACGGAAGCCCACCTACATCTATGTGTATCATATAATTAAGACTCTTATTACAAAATCTATGTATAGAGCAATTTCTGGAAATAACTCATTATTTCCTTTCTCTCTTAGCTCAATTGTACCTCTCCCCCAACTTGTCCTCCTCTCAGTTCGGATGCACCAGTTTTCCAAGCCATGTTCCTCAGTGATCTCGTCCTCCACTCTCTTTGCTCCAGCCCCACCACCAGCACAGCTGGCTGCCTGTCAATCCCAGCTGTCAGTAAGTCCTGTCTGTTCTTCTCTTTAGCTCTCTCACATCTCCTTGCTTTTCTCCATCCCCTCAGCCACCTCCCTAGTTTAGCCCCCACCGGTTCATACCCAGGTGGCGCTGGTGGTAAAGAACATCTGCTAGTGCAGGAGACATAGAGACCTGGATTTGATCCCTGGGTCTGGAAGATCCCCTGGAGGAGGGCATGTGAGCCTGTCTTTGATCCCTGGCAGGGCAGTGCTTCCTCTTCACGGCCCTGACCATGTGACATGATGATGTGTTTGTGAGTCTGTCATCTCCACCCCATCATGACCCTTGAGAACAGGGTCCAGAATACTCACTCCAGTATCCTTGCCTGGAGAATCCCATGGATGGAGGAGCCTGGTGGGCTACAGTCCATAGGGTCGCACAGAGTCGGACACGACTGAAGTGACTTACCACGTAACACTGCACATCTCATACCCAAAATTTGGTAACATCCTTACAAAGAGGCTCCCACCTTCTCTGTCTTGCCCTAGCTTGATCCATTCTCTACATTTCAGTCAGGGTCCTTTTGCTTTAAAATATGAAAAAACAAAACAAAACAGTCTTGCAACACACCCCGCTTACAGGTCCACTTGTGTTCCATTATCCTCAGGATATTGCTGAATTCCCTTCTCAGCCTGGCTCTGGCTCTTCTCCAGCCCCTGGCTCGCCTTTGCATACACTGCCTGTCACCCACAAGCTGTTCCTGAGCCCCTCACCTCCTGCCCTCATCCTTCCTTACCTCCAGGCCTCACGGGGCTGTTCTGGAAGCCAGGAGCCCTCCCCTGCGCGGATTCCTGCGGGTCCTTTGGGTCTCAGCCTCACCAATGTTCAACAAATAAGGTTAAGATGTAAAAAGTCAACCTAGTTAGCTGTATAAT